CCCCCCCCGGTGCTAGTCTGGGCTTCTGAACCCAGAATGATTACCTTGTCTGATAAATCTCTTCTTATGCTAATCAATTTTGCCTGTAGCTTTTTTTCTTTTTACCAGTAGCTCATTTCTGATAATAAGTTCCTCATGCAAGATATACATACCCTTCTCCAACAACTCTTGCAATTTTTAGACGAAAATCCACTGAATTTAGACTAGGTGGCTTCCATTTCAAAATGTCATCACACCGTCCAGGCTTGTATTTCTTAAAAATGAAAAATTAAAGAAAGTTGATTTGTTTGCTTGCAAGCCAACATTTAATAACCTGTTAAATATTTGAGGAAAAATAGTTATAAAGTCATATTGTGTCATCCTTTCATAAGATGTATAACACAGAAAGCATTGCAATTAGTAACCGAAAGAAGTTTAAGATTCAGTGGGTTAGTGATTAAGTGGCACTGGCTAGAAACCAGTCACTCTCTCTCTCGGCCCAAAATCACCTTACATGGTTATTGTTGTGAGAAAAATAGGAAGAGGAAGATGTATTAGATAATCAGCTTGAGTTATTTATAAAAATAATAAAGGCAGGGTATTTTTGCTTAAAGAATGTATTAAAAATCTTGTTTCCATGTGTATAATGAAATATACATTATTCATGTTATTCATTTTAATCTTCTGAGGGTATTTATTGGGGAATTCGTGTGGAATTGATATAGTGAAATGAGAAAATTCCCCACCTTTTTCAATTCAATTCAGACTTTCAATTCCAGACAGTAATCAGACTTTGATTTTTTGGGTGTCAGATTGATTGATAATTCATGAATGAGAATGCTAGTAGTATATTTAAGACTATGTGGCAGACATCCCAAAGTAGCAAATTAAAGAAAAGAAACCTAATATTGATCTGGAAGAAATTTCACATGGTTTTAGGAAAATAAACAAATAATCATTATAATGTTGGGCATCAATACTGTTATGTCCAGTTAGCATATTGAAAATCATTGAAATCAATAGGTTTAAGCCACTGATTCAACTGTGCATAAAAAGCTGTTTAATATCTTGAATCATATGGTTTTCATTGTATCCAATTTCCTTTTTCCTGCACTATTAAATAAATAGATAAAGATAGTAAAAAAAAAAAGGCTTTCTCACAATATTAAAATTCAGGTTTACTTGGTAAAAATCAACATGATTAATTAACTGCCCTAGACAGAATTATCTTTCATGAAGCAATCTTATACCTGATAAGAGTGGTCATTGCATTAAGTATGTGTATACATAAATGCTTAAACTGTAATATTATAAATAGATCTTTGATTTCTTATACCTATTGCCCCAAAATTTTGTATTGTCTACATCTTCTGTATTTCATTTCCCTTAAATCTACTGTTTATCATTCTTCCAATCACAAGCAAATTCTCCTTAGATAGAATAATATTTCAGAGGGTAAATGAAGTTATCTGTATTCCTTGATCATAAATGTATCAAACAGATGTCACAAAAATCTGGTCTATTATTTCTGTTCTGCCATCAAATTTACAATGATATGTTGCCCACAGCTTCTTCCTTACTTTTGGCTTTAGTGTTCTGTCACTCCACCCAGGTGCAAATATGATCTTTAATTAGATTTTTTTGCATAAACTTTTAATTCAGTGGAGCTGGCTGTCTCAAAAGAAACAAATGATGCTCTTGTCTACTGTCTACTGTATTATACTGTGTTTGATTATTCCTATTATGGCAAGCAGTGGAATTTTTAAGGTATAGATTGAGGGCAAATATTTTATCTGCATGCATTATTTCTCTGGACAATCAACCAATCTTTTGTAAGGCAGACCCCTACATAATTGGCTTCTCTCTCAAAGCACAATCTCTTGAGGTTAAACTTCAGATCAGCTAACATTAAATAAAACCTTACAAGGAGTAGTTTCAACCAGAGACTCCAAGAGTTGACTTATTAGATGCAATTCTAATAACTGAATAATTATTGTTGTTCAACTGTAAGTTAATGTGACAGCAGTAGTTATACATTCTGAAATATGCCAGATGAAAATCTTCTATCAAAGACACTTATTGAAGCAATCTTTGACTTAGCAAGATCACAATGATTAGTAACCATATTCCTGCAAGGAGGGCTAAAATAGCTACAGATTTTTCATACATTTTTAATGGACATTCATGTTCTTATTATGTAGAAAAAAATACTTTATACCCTCTAAGACAAATTCAATACATTGCATGCCAGTGTTTGCTGTCACGGGCCCCGATTCCAATTTGTTTTTAATTGATCACAACAATTAAATATAAAGCACTAACAAAGTAGCACAGTGACTTTGCAGAAAGACAATAAATAACTTCATGCATACAATAGAGGTTGGTATCTCAGGCACTAATAATATGGATATATGTTAAAGGACTAAGCTTGGTCTAATTCATCAGGAATCAAATTTAAAATTCAGCACATTATTACATTTAACAGCTAGTCCAATACATATATTAATGGTATATTGTAATATGGTCAGAAAGCAATAGGGGAGGGAGGGAAGGACAGAGGGAGGGAGAGAGGAAAGAAAGGAAGGAAGGATTATTTACTATTAGCTATAGTACAAAAAAACAAAACAAAACCATATAGGAAATGTTTCATAATGAGCTCAATGAATAACAAACAGAAACTGCATCTTCTATATTTTTATTGTTCTTCTCCAGTTTCTGGTAACAGCAAGATACAAAACAGCCACCCTTTACTTTCTCACACATTTATCCTCCTTCACAAGTCTTTTATTATTTGTTGCAGGATGAAGAGGCATTGTTTCTTTCAAAAAATAACTGGATTAAGCATTTCAAAAAGAAAAATGGAAGCCTTGATGAGATGAAATTGGCATTGCTTTATCTCTACCCTCAATTATGCTAAAACTTGTGAAATTCTTCCTTGAACTATAATAAATGGTAACTCTCAGAAATCATTTATGTGGCAAAATACCTTTTTTTCCTTTTATGTCTTAACCAAGTTTCAGCCTTCAAAGGCTGAGTGTTTAGTATCATCCTGTTTACTGACAGCCATAAATATTCAAAATCATGATGTAAAATATAGGAGTATAGTTTAAATGTACATGATTACACAATAATTTTCAAGAATACCATCGTATTTCTGTTGTCTGAATTTTTCAAATGGCCCTGCTTTTAAGGATTAGTTTTCCATTGCAAAGAAAACAGGTTATTAACATTTGGAAACCGATGCTGAACAATTTTCAGGAAAACATGGAAATGAGCAGCAGACACAACCCTCCCATAGAACAGGCTTTCTAAAATGCAGTAGTCTATAGAATATGAACCAACTTTCCAAATTAATTCACATGCTATGTAATATTTTGCCACATGCACTTCCACAGGCCCATGACCTGCTTAAATGAATGATGGAAGGTTTTATAGACTATATGACAGCAAGTAATTACATTGTTAGTTTACTCTACTAAAATGCATGATCATAAAAATTAAATAGATCTCCCCAGTTTATCAAGTATATATATAAGTTTTTGACTAAAAAAAGAAGATGCTATTTATAGCAGGGGAGAAAACATTTATACTTCGAGGCAGATGAGTTAAATTTGGCATCTCTCAGTATCAACTTTTTTTATCTCTTTTGCAGACCCCTAAAAATCTTCCAAGGAACACCTGGTTTTTTCAGAATACAATCTGAAGACTAGCTAATCTAACAGACCATTTGCTTTTAAGGAAACAAAACAAAACTGCCAAAGATATCTGACTAATAAGAGCTCATGCTGACATTTCAGTTGTTAAATAAGTATCTTTCATGCCACAGTTTCTTCCAAAAGCACAGTTTTCCCACACTGACCCTCATTGCCAGTTATTGAAAACAACTGCTTGCAATTAATAAATATGTAATATGAGGATGGGAGAGAGGAATGGGTAGCTGAACACTTCTGTCCAGGTAATGAGTTATTAAATTGATCACAATCAATGCAAACCCATTTGAATTGACATATAATCATAAATAAGTATCAAATGCCTTCATCTCTATTATGAATGGATGTATTTCTCTAGTGATTCCAGTACCTGAAAAGATTTATTCCAGACCAGCAGTTAGAAGACAATTAGTGGTAGTTTCCTAACTGCAACATCAAAGCATTGGCCACTCGTCATTAGTATATATTTTTATTTATTGCTTAATATTTTTTTCATGTCATAGAAAATATCCCAAAAAGTTACTGGGAAATACACACAGGAGATCGCATCTGGTTCACAAAAGTAAGAATTAGTATCCAGAATTAACAGATTGTTTAGTCTGATCCTACAATGCTTTTATGTTTTTAACGGGTAATACATAGTGTTGAATTTCAAAGATCTCATTCATCTTCTGTGGTGGGCTATGACCCATGTATGTAGGAAGGCTATGACAGATCCTCTGGTGGACCTTCATAGACAACTGAATTACTCTCTTAATAACAAAAATTAATTTAGCTTCATATATGCTGGCCTGTGTACAAGCTCTAAAGAAAGGTGGGACAAAAATACAACAAACTAATTACAGAAGATTACAGTTTCAGCTGAGCCAATTTAGCAGTGTTAAAATTTATCTTCATTGCTTTACCCTCACATTGTCTGATACAACTTCAAAACATATAGAAATCAATAAACTCAAAAACAGAATTTCCTTTTCTTCCTGAAATCACTAATGTGTTGTCTTATGCTCCAGTGTTTTCCCATGATCTAGCTGAACAAATATAGCATATTTTTACCATGGTTGTCTTAGTTGGGAGGAGAGAAAATATATGTGTGTGTATATATATATTGGATAACATGACTTTTTTCATAGATTTAAACTATCATTATTTTTCAAATGTTCTAGAACAGGGGTGTGAAACTGGCAGCCCGTGAGCCGGACGACGAGAGCCAAAAAAGCAAATGCAATCCTAAGTTATATTAACAGAGGGATACAGTCAAGATCAAGGGAAGTACTAATACCACTTAGTAAAGCCTTAGTAAGACCACACCTAGAGTACTGCATCCAGTTTTGGTCACCACATTATAAAAAAGATATTGAGACTCTAAAAAAAGTACAGAGAAGAGCAACCAGGATGATTAGGGGACTGGAGGCTAAAACAAACAACGAATGGGGTCAAGCTATTTTCTAAAACTCCTGTAGGCCAGACAAGGAATAATGGATGGAAACTGAACAAGGAGAGATTTAACCTGGAAACAAGGAGAAACTTTCTGACAGTGAGAACAATCAACCAATGGAACAGCTTG